TCTCATTCAATCAATACATAATAATAATCAAGTCATTGTCCCGTTAAATCTCAAAGAACGCTAGACAGTGTCTGTTAGATAATGTTTTAATTAATTTTTGTTAGGAAATTACAACACAAATCACACTATTATTAGTAAGTTTACAAATAGGTCACCTTATTTCAAAAAGTTGGAATCAAGTGACTTAATTAATTTTGTTCAAATGGATAATTTGGATTTCGGACTTTCAAGGGATTGGGAGCTCTATTCGTCGATTTGAACAATTATTGGTGAAAGAAAACACATATCCTAACACAGAGATCATCTGGTGATGGATGACATAGATTAAAATTTAAAAAGTTTGAATACATTGAGATGATTTTGTAACTTTTGAGAAATTCTCGCAAACCTAATATGAAAAATCAAACAAGAAAATCAAAGTTAATCTTATGATGAAATTTGGGTTCATCGACCACTGTAGACGACTAAATTTTATATTATACATGATTTTCTTGTTAAAATAGATTAATTGAATGACTCGATTATAACTTTTTGAAATACATAAACATTTCATGATTAAAATATTTCAAATCGAAGTATCAATTTCGATTTAAAATATAGTAATGTAATTGAGCCAATCGATGCATACAAATACATAAAGGGCAACATATGAAGATTGATCCCATTTACGCTACGCAAATACATGAAGAGTTCATATCATGCTACTCAAAATGCAGCCTGCATTGTTGTGATGTTTGTTTCCAGGTAAGATGTGTTATACAATCCGATACGTAAATAAAAGAAAAATAAAAGATCGAACTTTATTAATAAATGAGGACCATATTATAATAAAGAACCCAAATAATAACAAGAAATCGAACTTGAATCTGGTTAAGGCCTGAAACTACGCAGTTTCCTTAAGACAAATTTTCGGTCACTCCTTCGTGCTTGAGATATCTTGGTTGTATGTCTCCCAAGATACAACAACGATACAATCAGTGCATAATAGCACAACTTGCGAGATCACGAACCAAATCTTGTTAGAGACTATCACCGAAAACAAGAGAGAAAGAAGAGAGTTTTTGAAACGGTATTTATAGTGTTTCACAAGGGAGACGAATTGAAAATAATATATTCGGCTATTAATTAGTATCCGAATAAAAATTAGAAATAATCAATTAATATCACCTTAAAAATATTTCGGCCGTTAATAAGTATCTGAATAAAACGAAAATAATCAATTAACATCGTATGATATAAAATATATTCGTGAATTGATCTCATTTATGCTACGCAAATACATGAAGAGTTCATATCATGCTACTCAAAATGCAGCCCGCATTGTTGTGAAGTTTGTTTCCAGGTAAGATGTATTATACAATTCGAGACGTAAATAAAAGAAAAATAAAAGATCAAACTTTATTAATAAATGAGGACATAAATAAAAGAAAAATAAAAGATCAAACTTTATTAATAAATGAGGACGAACATATTAGAATAAAGAACCTGAATAATAACAGGAAATCGAACTTGAATCTGGTTGAGACCTGCAACTACGCAATTTTCTTAAGACAAATTGTTGGCCACTCCTTGGTGTTCGAGATATCTTGGTCGTTTGTCTCCTATGATACAACAATGATACGATCAGCGCACAGTAGCACAACTTGCGAGATCACGAACCAAATCTTGTTAGAGACTATCACCGAAAATAAGATAATTTTTGAAACGGTATTTATAGTGTTTCACAATGGAGACTAATTGAAAATAATATATTTGGGCTATTAATTAGTATCCAAATAAAATCGGAAATAATCAATCAATAACGCCTTAAAAATATTTCGGCTGCTAATAAGTATCTGAATAAAATCGAAAATAATCAATTAACATCGTATCATATTGAATACATTCGTGAATTGATCCCATTTACGCTACGCAAACACGTGAAGAGTTCATATCATGCTACTAAAAATATAAGCTGCATTGTTGTGAAGTTTGTTTCTATGTAAGATGTGTTATACAATCCGAGACGTAAATAAAAGAAAAATAAAATATCGAACTTTATTAATAAATGAGGAGGAACATATTAGAATAAAGAACCCGAATAATAACAATAAATCGTACCTGAATTTGGTTGAGGCTTGTAACTACACAGTTTCTTTAAGACATTTTTAGCCACTCCTTGGTGTTTGAGATATCTTGGTTGTCTGTCTCCCAGGATACAATAACGATACGATCAACGTACAGTAGCATAACTTGCGAGATCACAAACCAAATCTTGTTAGAGACTATCACCGAAAACAAGAGAGAAAGAGGAGAGTTTTTGAACCGTATTTAACCTAGTAGGTTAGCACGATATTTATAGTGTTTCACAAGGGAGACGAATTGGAAATAATATATTCGGACTATTAATCAGTATCCGAATAAAATCGGAAATAATCAATTAATATAGCCTTAAAATATTTCGGCCTTTAATAAGTATCCGAATAAAATCGGAAATAATCAATTAGCACCATATCATATCAAATATATTCGTGAATTGATCACATTTACGCTATGCAAATACATGAAGAGTTCATATCATTCTACTCAAAATGCAACTTGCATTGTTGTGAAGTTTGTTTCCAGGTAAGATGTGTTATAAAATCCGAGACATAAATAAAAGAAAAATAAAAGATTAAACTTTATTAATAAATGAGGAGGAACAAATTAGAATAAAGAACTCGAATAATAACAGGAAATCGAATTTGAATATGGTTGAGGCATGAAATTACGCAGTTTCCTTAAGACAAATTTTCATCCACTCCTTGGTGCTCGAAATATCTTGGTCATCTACAGGATACAACAACGATACGATCAACACACAATAGCACAACTTGCGAGATCATGAACCAAATCTTGTTAGAGACCATCACCAAAAACAAGAGAGAAAGAAGAGAGTTTTTGAACCGTATTTAACCTAGTAGGTTAGCATGGTATTTATAGTGTTTCAAAAGGGGAGACGAATTGGAAATAATATATTCAGTCTATTAATTAGTATCCAAATAAAATTGGAAATAATCAATTAATACCGCCTAAAAAATATTTTGGTCGTTAATAAGTATCTGAATAAAATCGAAAATAATCAATTAGTATTGTATCATACCGAATATATTCATGAATTGCAAGTCATACCATATTTAATTCGTAGTGGGTAAAATATTCGCAGGCCCCGACCGGTCCGGACATTCGCGTTGCCACGTTTGTTTCCAGGTAAGATGTGTTATACAATCTGAGACGTAAATAAAAGAAAAAATAAAAGATCAAACTTTATTAATAAATGAGGAGGAACATATTAGAATAAATAACCTGAATAATAAGAGGAAATCGAACTTGAATCTGGTTGAGGCCTGCAATTACACAGTTTCCTTAAGACGGATTTTCGGCTACTCTTTGGTGCTCGAGATATCTTGATCGTATGTTTCCCAGGATACAACAACGATATAATCAGCGCACAGTAGCACAACTTACGAGATCGCGAACCAAATCTTGTTAGAGACTATCACCGAAAACAAGAGAAAAAGAAGAGAGTTTTTTAACCATATTTAACCTAATGTATTAGCACATTATTTATAGTTTTTCACAAGGGAGAAGAATTGGAAATAATATATTCGGGCTATTAATCAGTATCAGAATAAAATCGAAATAATCAATTAATACTGCCTGAAAAATATTTCTACAGTTAATAAGTATATGAATAAAATTGGAAATAATCAATTAATATTGTTTTATATCGAATATATTCATGAATTGCAAGTCATACCATATTTAATTCATAGTAGGTAAAATATCCGCAAGCCCCGACCGGTCCGGACATTTACGTCGCCCACGTGTGTTTCCAGGTAAGATGTGTTATACAATCTGAGACGTAAATAAAAGAAAAATAAAAGATCGAACTTTATTAATGAATGAGGAGGAACATATTAGAATAAAGAACTTGAATAATAAGATGAAATCGAACTTGAATCTGGTTGATGCCTGCAATTACGTAATTTCCTTAAGACAAATTTTCAGTCACTCTTTGGTGCTCGAGATATCTTGGCCGTATGTTTCCCAAGATACAACAACGATACGATTAGCGCACTATTGCACAACTTGCGAGATCACGAACCAAATCTTATTAGAGACTATCACCGAAAATAAGAGAGAAAGAGAGAGTTTTTGAACGTATTTAACCTAGTAGGTTAGCACGATATTTATAGTATTTCACAAGAGAGACGAATTGAAAATAATATATTCGAGCTATTAATTAGTATCCAAATAAAATCAAAAATAATCAATTAATACTGTATTATATCAAATATATTTGTGAATTGTAAGTCATACCATATTTAATTCGTAGCGAGTAAAATATCCGTAGGCTCCGACTGGCTCAGACATTTGCATTCGTACAAGTGCGCCTCCAAGTTGGATGGGCTTGAATTTGCACTCCTTACCTTATGCTTGCAAGCAAGGCACAATATTAACTAAAGTCATTCAAGGACTTATAAGTTGGTTTGGCATATAAACATTTTCTTGCTTAATACTACTACAATATGGGATAGTTTTCCCATTTTTCTTACGCAAGACAATTTACATGTAGTCTAATTTGAGCATCAATTTCTCATTCATCACTCAACCATTTTGAGCATATGAGATACCGTTGTAAAGAGCTCACGTAGTTGAATATGAATCACTAAATTCATTATTCGATTTTTCATTTTTACATTTAAAAAATATGCTCCAAAATTTCCAATTTATCACATTTTTTCCAAAAGATGTTCATGTCTGCTACTGATCAATCATTCGTTGATGTTTCTTTTCACTCTTTCTTTAACTACACGCATTTTAGATTTCGATTCCCACACAGCATACGTTTGTTTCGTCGAACTCCTCGGTTTATCCCTCGTTTATGGCTCAAGCATTTGCATCATTCGGACACAAGGTTTCGAAAAGAAACAAGCGTTCAGTTAAAATATTCTGATCTTTTTCAAAATCAAACCGAATTTACAAGCTAGGTAAGATCAAATTAAAATATAATTCAGCTCGGTTTGAATAATATTCTAGTTTTTTTCTAACTTATGAACCGAGAGCTGACAGAATACATTATATTAATATTATTACTCTAATCAAACCCGAATCGAACATTACGTCCGAACCGGAATTCTGTAAATTTTTTCGTGTGTTTTTCTAAACCCCTAGTGTCTAATCACACATCGGCAAATACATGAAATTGTTTGGAATCCAAAGCTATGAGCCTTAAAGATGCAATTGTTGCTGCAACAGACATGATAGCAAAGATAACAACATTGAACCAATGCCAGAGCTTTTGTGACAGACTCAGTTTGTTCTTCTTTGCCACAAGATACATGTGGTTTGCCAGGATAAATGTTAGAGGAAACGTGCTCAACGCCCCCGTAAGGCTCTCAAAATCTCCAAGGAACGGGAGAAGAGCCGACACCAGTGTACTGATAACAAGGTACCCACCCCTTGCTGCGATCCTGAAGGCCAAGTTGTTAAGTTTCAATGCGCTTCCTCGGATACCGAACTTGGTGTCCAAGTACTCATAAGTCGGACTCGCGAATATCTGACAGCGGGTAGCGGAGGAACACGTTAGATTTGTGGAGCATTGCTGAAAGTGGTTGATGTTACAAACAAGTAAACATACTTACATGCAAACAAATGATGGATTGCAGGAAGGCAGAGATGTTTGCAGCCGCCCTAACCCAAAGCGGACCGCTTACACTGTTAAGCAAATATGCGGATGTTGCCGCTCCGTAAGCCCAGTAGCCTATAAAGGTAATGGCAAACATCGGTACAAGTCCGATGGTGAACTGAAAGTACAAAGCTTTAATCATGTTCTTCACTGCAGGCTCCCTCACCGTTGCCTGTTATGAGAAACAATGTCTAAGAAGCAGAGAAAGAAATAGGACCGAATGCAACATGGCTACAAATTGATGACTAATTCATGTTGTTAAAGGAAGAAGTTTCGAGATATCCTGGCCTACCTGTATTTCTGGTAACATTCCAGTATTGAATGCAAACACAAGATTTGCAGATGCTCCTATAGTTGTAAAAATTCTGATGCTTGGTTTCCCATGTATGCTGTAATCTCGAGGAGGTGCATTGATTCCTATAACAACATCGGAATCGTTATTGTCATATCAGCGACACAAAAAGTACATCAGGGTTCCAAATCAAACTCTGAAGAAAGTCACTGCTAATATATCCATCAAGGTAAGCTAACAGCCTTATCCAAAAAAAAAAAAATTGAAAATTTCAATGTTGCAGGAGCTAGGCAATGCCGATTTATTCAATAGACAACAGACAAGAATCTATTTGGTTTTCATGCATATGATTGCTCAAAATCTTCTTTAAGGTTAAACTTTGAGAGTCGGCCAGAGTGTTCAGATATATAATCTAAAGCTCTAAAGTGATCAGCTTCAAGTTCAAGGTAGCTAACAACAAACGCCCAAATGCCTTAGCTCATCAATCGAATCAATATTCCTGTTCCCGTTCCCGGCGAGTAACAACCAACAAAAAGGTTAGCATTGCTTTAACCCTCTTGGAAAGTTCTCATTTTTACAGAGGAAAAGAACTGATTTATTAAGGATTCTATTTGCATTTTCATCTGCAGTTCGATCACCAGTCTGAGATTATTAATTACTTTCCATGTGATAAAGAAGAACAGAGCGAATATCAGATATGGGAACATACCATCTTTAGCTGCAAGCACACATGCCACAATGATATATATAAGGCTAAGAACGGTTGAACATCCCAACCATACTCTTAGAGCTGACAGATGCGGCGTCGATATGGCAAACAAAGTACAAGCAAATCCAGTTATCGCAATACAGTATGGAAGTTTCATGGTGTCCTCATAATTGAAAACGGCAAAGCAAGCCTGCATTTACATGTTCACATGTTAAAGATTTCAGGACTATGATTTCAATATAAACCTTCATGTAAATCAACAAACTGAGTCCTTATTCATGGAGCGGGTAAGCATTAGAAAAAGGTCGGAAATGTTGAGATCGTCTTTGGGATATTCTGCAACCGTTTAGAACAACTATCTTCAACCCAAAATGCAGATTTGACTAGGGAAGTAAGGTGTCTTTAAACAATCTGGTCTTACCTTTAAAGCAGAACCACCCAGAATGAGAAATCCAATGTTAATCATAAACAGGTTGACATATTGCATTCCCCATGTAATAGCATAGGCTCTCCTACCTGTGTTCATCAAGCATAAATAAAAACATAGAATTTGCACATTAAGATCTTAATACTAAATGAGATTCTGCGATTCTGTATTCGATTTACATAAGCCTCGTACCGTATATCTGTGCTGCAAGATCTCTGTATCTGATATGCCGCTTTCCTCCAAGTTCATGGAGCTTTGCAAGAATCATGTTGGCATTCAATGACAACACGGTGGCGAGCAGTAAACCGACTACGCCTCCGATCCAGCCGAGAGGAACCATGATTGTCCCGGAATATCCCAAGACAAATACACTGTTGACAGCAGTGGTCAAAACAAAACCTGCCTGTAGCCATGAATCTGTAAACGAAATTCTAATGAGCACAAATAGAAAATACTAACCCCAGGAGAATAATTCCTGTTTTTGTCACTATTTTGAAATATTCCAGTCATGGTGGAGCAACATCACAAAACCATGAAACTGATTTTTCTATATTTGTAAATCAAAAGCCATTGAAGAAGTTAAAGTACAGCAAACGGAAAAGACAAAACGAGAAAAAGAAATTGTTATGGCCATGAAAATGCCACAAAACAAAAAAAGAAAAAGAAAATTTTTTGTAGCATCAAATACGACACAATAAGTAAATCTAATGATTTTGCACATGACACCAACACTGGGGATCCGAAATGAAACTACTCTTCACTTTGCAGAAAATAAGAAAAAAGAAGATCCCAGAATTCAAACAAAACAAATCTGTCATAACCAAACAAAAGAACATGAAGTGAAACACAAACAGAAAACAAGAAGAAGAAGAAGAAGAAGAAGAAGAAGAAGAAGAAAAGAAAAAGAATAATCTTTTAGGTAGAAAATGTATATTTGTTTGTATGTACCAGTGCTAACAGCATGGGTAGTTTCAGGAACTTCAACATTTAACTTATAATCCTCAACATCATTTGTGGTTTCAGGCATCATGTTTGCCTCTCTCATGTTTCACCCCCCTCTTTCAACTCAACTCTTTGCTCTGCTTAGTATTATCTTCTTCAGATGTATATAATTTTATAAAGGGCAGGGAGGCAGGGACTACTGGATTTATAGCAGCTAAAAAAACATTTTATTTTCCAATTATTGAAAACCTGCGTTTTCTGTTTTATTTTTTATTATTATCTTTTAATAAATTTCCAAAAGAATCAATGCTCTATATTTGGTGCGTGTCAGAATTGTGTAAGCAACTCCTTGCCCTCGGCCTTGACCTGTTTTGCTTCCATACAAAGCACACATTTGCATGTAAATGAAAAAAAGTTTACGGCAGTTCCATCCTCTTGGGACTTTTTTTTTTTTAAAAGGATCAAATTCCAATCATTGAAATTTCAGGTCAATTTTATTCTCTGGGATCAAAACTATCGTAGAAGTCATGCCGTTTCGGTTCGTTTTGTGGGGATCCTTGATACCAATGACTTTGATAACTGGATACAGCTCATGATCCAACAGTGGAAGAGAATGTTGAAGAGTTTGGGCTCTGTGAGCTGATAACATGGAATCCCTCTTTTAGCGGTCTTTAGGAAGATGTTTTCATTGGCAACACCTTCTACTCTCCAAAACCAAAATTAAATCACGTCTTTTTCACTTTTCTTCTCAAATCGTTTTCCTCACTTCCTTTTATCTTTATTTTTTATCATTTGTCAAATAAATCGAAGTTAAATATTCATTTATCAAATGTCAAAGTCTTGAATTTTGGGTCCACCTCTCGGCTTAACACATGTTCTCTCAGGTGATACTTTTATTGAATTATTAAAGTTCACTTTTTTTTTGTTCGTATTCCTGTTATTAAGAAGCTTGATCATATCCTTAATGTTAAGGTCGAGGGTATAGGCATTTTCGCAACAAACAAAGGGAAAAAACACCATACTTTCCAAGTTGCCCAAAGATTAGATTCCAAAATTGAAAGGAGAGAGAAAGTAAAAGTTAAGATTGGGGATAGATTTAGACCCGACAATATTAGAATGGACAAGATTTCGTGACAAAACAAGCTTAATTTAAAACACAACACCCCATAACGCGAAATAAATAAATACAAATATGACACAAAAATTGTTAAAATTTAAATAAATAAATACAAATATGACACAAAAATTGTTAAAATTTATGTAATAACGTGTTATGTTATTTTATTTAAAATTTTATAAATTAAAATTAAAAATGTTGCTTCAAAATATATACATATGATACGAATAAATGGACCGACTAGATTTAAAAAGACTGCTTTATCAAATTCATCGACCAACCGTGACCTTATAAAAAAAATTGCCAGCGTTTTGGATTATTTAGTACATTGCACATGGCCCAATCTCCATTTTCTGGGATCTTTTTCTTTTCTCAATAAAAATTGAATTTCTAAGTGGGTGAAAATTAAATTTATCCATGAACCGGACTTTAACTGAATTATTCTCTTACCCTTTCACCTAAACTTCACTCCAATAGGTCTCAATGGAGCTAAAACTTACTTTCTATATTAATATTTAGATATTTTCCAAATTAAATATTCTTTTAATAAAAATAAAAGTATGGTCTATGATTTGAAATCTCAAAATGATGGTATGAATTTAATGATAAAACGAAACTTTAATGATGTCAAAAGTATGGTCCATTCGTTTTTTTTTTGTATCATCAATCACGTCCATAACGAGTATTCGTATTAGATTATAACTTTTAACCTAAACCTAAATCCTCGACTTTGTTTCATATATCATTTTAATTTTTATCATAAACGAATCTAAACTGAAATCTCGTTTATTTCTTTTGCCCGAATCTATTAAGTAAGTTTACATATGGTAGTTTTACATTTTAATATTCTAGTAATTGTTTAATTAATTTTATTGAATAAATAAAGAAAAAATATAATAAGATTATATAATCTTAACGAAAAAAAGAGAGTATATGGTACTAGTTATATTAATTGATAATCTCCTTTAAACTATCAAATAACACAAACTAACTGTAAATAATTAAATAATAATAATAGAAAAAAAACTTAACCAAATAATTTTATATATAAGATACAAACAAACATCACAACCGAGACGATGAATGATAAATTACTAATATAAGAATAGAATGACAATACGCTGACGTCTGACTTTATCACTCCTCAAGTATGTTATGTCTAGGTGATTGTAAGCAACTATCAATATAAGAAAACTAGCTTGAATGCGTGGGTAAATTAGAAAGATAATCAAATACATGTCAACTGAGACTCATTAAACAAAATTAAAACAACAAAAACTAGATATTAAAAAAAATTAAAAAATTATAAAGATGAGAAAGAAAAAAATGCGAAAGAAGAGAATACTAAAGAAATGAGAAACAATGCATAGTAAAATAATGAGTGACAATCGTTTGGATCAAAGGCCAACAACGCCACCTTCCTAGATAAACAATGAGAAAAAAATACTTCTCAAGTTATACTTGAATCACCGAATTTATAAAGATAATTATACTTTTCATTATGTAAATTTTTTAATCAATTTGATTTTTTATTTTATGGATCTATAATATTATATTTTTTGACGTATATTTAATGATCAAAAGCTTTTTACATTTCATAAATAATGATATATATTTTATCTACTCAAAGATTTGATGTGCACGATCAACTTGAGTAAAGTACTAAGTATATCGGTTAAATTATTAAAATATTAATAAAAATATATAAAACTACTATACTTTTATACTAATATGAATGAATCGTTCCTCATACATACACTTAATAATTTGATACGTTAATAGTCTATAGTTTTATACATCATCTTTTTTTTTAAAAAAAGAAAAGAAAATATACTAATTAATCTTGGTTTCAGATTATGTGCCATCATCAACTTTGCAAATTATGAACAATTGTAGGGATATGTCATGATCCACTACTCTAGTGTAAAATTGAAATCGTTTTTACATAATTTTATATAATTTATATTTTATTAATTTAACTATTAAATTTACAACTATTATTATACTTTTTATTACTATAATTTTTTTTAATAAATCTGATATATCTTTTATAATAATTCAAAATCTGTATCAATATATTCAATGATTGAAAATACTTTACATAAAATAAATTATAAAATATATACTGTATATGGATAAAATATTTAGTGATTAGGGTAATCTTACCTAAAGTTAAAATTATATGAATATATATTCTTTATATTGTTAGAAAATGGTAGGAAGATTTTTCATGGCGTCAAAATTGGCATGCATTCATATTGGGAGAGCACTTTTGTTGTAGGGCCCTAGGAACAAATTTTAGGAGATCTTAACCGTTTATAGAGGGAGACTAACCCTAAATTGACCTAAAATAATAAAAAGATGGAACTCAAAAAAATCATGGGTTAGATTCTATTTGGAAAACAAGTAAAATAAAGGTCAAAAGAACAAATGATGGGGTGGGAGATTATCATTTTAAGGTTGAAAGTAATACGTGCAATATAGGTAAACATAAATAAATAAAAAAATTGTTATAATATTTTTTTATTAAATTATAGTGATTACAAAGTAATATATGTTTTAAATACCCTCAACTATTTAATAATGAAAGATCGATCACCTTGCTGCTTGCTGCAGTCACTGGTGCACGAACTCGGATATTTAAGAACAATAACAATTCTTTTAACCACCAATATAAGTTGATTCATGCACCATTATAATATAATTTATCTTTAAAATAAGAATCATTTAATGATATATTGAATTGATATCAAATCAATTTGTAATACTATTGACACGTACGAGACATTAAATATTTCATTATAATAAGAATAGATATCGATATCATTTATTCCATACTTTCACAACTCTAAATTGTTTAAGGAATGTGTTGAATGATTAGTTGTTGCTGAAATAAATTCGGTCTAGGGTTGGTGACTTGGTGTAGATACAGACTAGTAGTAATATATTTGAAGCCGACCGAAAGACTGTTGAAGAGAGAAATGGTGGATGAAAGAGTTGAGATCAACTCGGCAACGGCAGTTATAATCATAGAACAAAACAGTACTTTTGGACGTGTCGTGTTTTCACAAAAGAAACTTTGTATTATGTATTTATATAATGGCGGGTACTGTCTCCCACCATTTTATATTCAAAGGTTTTACGCTCATTCAGTGCATGAAAAACGATGCTCAAATCCCCTACCATTTCTATGTTTTGTTTCGTCAAATTTGGTTTATGGACACAAATTATTCACAATCATGAAAATCACCGTTCCATTTTAGGGTCAGGACTTTACGTTATCAATTTACAGGAAGAAAATAGGAAATTCAATAGTTTAAACTTTAGATGTAATATATGAATTATTATTTGATATACGAATATATAAAAATTATTTTAATTTTAAATATTAAAATCTAAATTTTTAATTTCTAAATTCTAAAATTTAAAACTTAAATTATACATTTTAAATAAAATATCTAAATTTTAAATAAAATAATTGAATCTTAAAATAGATAAATTTATACAACTTTATAAGTATTAATTAATATTAAATATATATTTTTAAAAATAAAAATTTTATCAAACCCCCTCAATTAAAAAAATTATATTTATAAAAAATAAAAAATATTTTAACCATACTATAATAAATTCTTAATTTCGATCTTGAAATCGCTCAAAATAATTTTTAAGAATTTTTTTCGTGATTTTTAGGCAGCCAGAAGGGGCCCCACGCGCCCCCACGCGTTGCCACTGCGCGTGGGGATGGTCCAAATGACCGTTTTGACCAGTTTTGGCGCATAGTTGACCGGTTTGACCGGTCATAACCCGACCCGACCCGTTTACCCGACCCGATCCGTTTACCCGACCCGATCCGTTTACCCAACCTGACCCGTTGACTGGCGTTGACCACTGTTGATCTGCTTTGACCGGGCATTAAACGACCTTTGACTTCAACCGAGTATTCTTATCCTGACATTTTTCGACGTTCCAAATCCGATTCCGCTGTCTGTTTTTTGAAATTTGAACCCGAAGGCCTCGAAA